CTGACCTCGTGATCCGCCCGTCTCGGCCTCCCAAAGTGCTGGGATTACAGGCTTGAGCCACCGCGCCCGGCCTAAGTTTTTTTTTTTTTTTTTAATGAATCTCTATACTGTTCTTCATAATGGCTGTACTAATTTACATTCTTAGCAACAGTGCACAATTGCTCCCTAAACATCCTTGCCAAAAGTTATCTTTCATCTTTTTGATAGAAACCATTCTAATAGGTGTGAATTGATATCTCACTTTGGTTTTAATTTGCATTTCCCTAATGATCAATGATGTTGAACACTTTTTAAATGAACCTGTTGGCCATTTATACGTCTTCTTTTGAGAAGTGCCTATTCAGGTTCTTTGTCCATTTTTTAAATGGGTTGCTGGTTTTCTATGATTCAGGTGTTTTAGTTCCTTATATATTTTGGATATTAACCCCTTATCAAATGTATGGCATGCAAATATTTTTTTTTCTCAATCTTTTGGCTATATCTTCACTTTGTTAATTATTTCTTCTGTTGTGTAGAAGTATTCATTTCTTGCAATCCTTTTAGTTTATTTTTGCTTTTGTTGCTTGAGCTTTCAGAGTCATGTCTAAGAAGTCCTTGCCCAGACCAGTGTCACAGAACTTTTCTCCTATGTTTTTTTAAAGTGATTTTATAGTTTCAGGTCTTCAGATTAAGTCTTTAATCCATTTTGAGTTGAATTTTGTGCATGGTATGTGCATGATGTGAGAAAAGGGTCTAATTTCATTATTCTGCACATAGATAACTGGTTTTCTCAGTACCATTTATTGAATCGACTGTCCTTTCCCCATTGTATGTTTTTGATACCTTTGTAAAAAATTAAAGAACTGTAAATGCATGGATTTCTGGGCTTTCTATCCTGTTCCATTGGCCAATGAGTCTGTTTGTATGCCACTACCATACTACTGTACTGTTTTGATTACAATTGCTTTATATTTTGAAATCAGGTATTGCAATATCTCCAGCTTCATTCTCTTTCTTTTTGTTCAATTGTTTTTGCTACTTGATGTCTTTTGTGTTTTCATACAAATTTTAGGATTTTTTTCTGAGAAATATATCCTTTTCCTTACGTTAGAGATTGCAGTGGGCATGTTTCATTTTGTTGTTGTTTTTTGAGACAGGGCCTCACTTTGTCACCCCGGCTGGAGTGCAGTGGCATGATCATGGCTCACTGCAACTTTGACTTCCTGGGCTCAGATGATTCTTCCACCACAACCTCCCAAGTAGCTGGGACTACACTTGCACACCACCATGCCCAGTTAATGTTTTGTATTTTTTGTAGAGATGGGGTTTTGCCATGCTGCCCAGGCTGGTCTCGAACTCCTGGGCTCAAGCAATCTGCCCACGTTGGCCTCCCAAAGTACTGGGATTACAGGCGTGAGCCACCACTCCTAGCCAACATGGACATCTTAACAATATTCTTCCAATCCATGAACATGCGATATCATTCTATTTCTTTGTATTTTCTTCAATTTATTTCAACAATGTTCTGTCGTTTTCAGTATAGAAGTCTTTCACCTCCTTAATAAAATTTACACCTGAATATGTGTTGTTGTTGTTGCTGTTGTAAATGGTATTGTTTTCTTAATTTCCCTTTTAGACAGTGCATTATTTGTATATAGAAATGCTATGGCTTTTGTATGTAGATTTTGTATTTTATAACTTTACTGAATTTGTTTATCAGTTCTAATAGATTTTTTTTGTGTGTTATCAGTTCTAACAGTTTTTTTTGTGTGTATGGATTGTTTAGGGTTTTCTATATTTAGACTACGTGTAAGCAGAAAAAATTTCACTTCTTCCTTTCCTCTTTGGATGCCTTTTATTCCTTTCTCTTGTCTAAATTCTCTGGCTAGTATTTCTAGAACTATGTTGAAAAAAAGTGGTGAGAGTGGGCATCCTTATCTTGTCTCTGATAATAGAGGGAAAGCTTTCAA